GCGCGTGCGGTCGATTAATCGCATCACAAACATCCCTCCCACATCCCTCTCCTCTCTCTCCCTCTCCTCTCTCTCCCACACATCCCTCTCCCACACATCCCTCTCCCACACATCCCTCTCCCACACATCCCTCTCCCACACATCCCTCTCCCACACATCCCTCTCCCACACATCCCTCTCCCACACATCCCTCTCCCACACATCCGTCTCCCACACTTCCCTCTCCCACACATCCCTCTCCCACACATCCCTCTCCCACACATCCCTCTCCCACACATCCCTCTCCCACACATCCCTCTCCCACACATCCCTCTCCCACACATCCCTCTCCCACACATCCCTCTCCCACACATCCCTCTCCCACACATCCCTCTCCCACACATCCCTCTCCCACACATCCCTCTCCCACACATCCCTCTCCCACACATCCCTCCCCTACACATCCCTCTCCCACATCCCTCTCCTCTCTCCCAAATATCCCTCTCCCACACATCCCTCTCCTCCCTCTCCCACATCCCTCTCCTCTCTCTCCCAAATATCCCTCTCCCACACATCCCTCTCCTCCCTCACCCACACATCCCTCTCCTCCCTCTCCCACACATCCCTCTCCCAAACATCCCTCTCCTCCCTCACCCACACATCCCTCTCCCACACATCCCTCTTCTCCCTCTCCAAAACATCCCTCTCCCACACATCCCTCTCCTCCCTCTCCCACACATCCCTCTCCTCCCTCTCCCACACATCCCTCTCCTCCCTCTCCCACACATCCCTCTCCCAAACATCCCTCTCCTCCCTCACCCACACATCCCTCTCCCACACATCCCTCTTCTCCCTCTCCAAAACATCCCTCTCCCACACATCCCTCTCCTCCCTCTCCCACACATCCCTCTCCTCCCTCTCCTCCTTCACCCACACATCCCTCTCCCACACATCCCTCTCCTCCCTCTCCCACACATCCCTCTCCCACACATCCCTCTCCTCCCTCTCCTCCCTCTCCCACACATCCCTCTCCCACACATCCCTCTCCTCCCTCTCCCACACATCCCTCTCCCACACATCCCTCTCCTCCCTCTCCCACACATCCCTCTCCAAACATCCCTCTCCCACACATCCCTCTCCTCCCTCTCCCACACATCCCTCTCCTCCCACACATCCCTCTCCTCCCTCTCCCACACATCCCTCTCCTCCCTCTCCCAAACATCCCTCTCCCAAACATCCCTCTCCCAAACATCCCTCTCCCAAACGTAGAGCCGTTAAGAGACTGTTTGGGGGCAAGTGCTACTAGCGAACACCTATTAATGCCGACCATACTGGACAGCTGTTTGAACAAAAAAAAGAGCGTCATGGCTCATCGGATTCATATGAGTCTAAATAAAAATTCTGATTTTTAAAAGGCGCGCTATGGGGCTGGGTAGCGGCCAGCACCACGTACCCGGCCACCTTTGGTGCCGATGTGCCCCAGGGCTGATATTTAATAAACCACCTCGCCAGGTACTCGCTTCAAAGACCGAGTCGACCTCTGGAGAGGACCCGGGCCCCGTTCAAATATTCGCCACTCTTATTAATTGGCCGTGCGCGGGATTTGAACTCGGGTCGCCGGTGTTGTATTGCAGTGCGCTCGCCCGCTATGCTGCCGCTCTCCGTTACATGGCAAGGAGCCGTGACAGATGGCGGCGGCTTGAGGTCTTCATCCAGCAGTGGCTGCTGCTGCTGCTGATGATGGTGGTGATTATTAAGCGCGCAGCCTCGCGTTGTAGCGACCCATGTACGCAGGGGAACCACGTCCATAGCGACCAACGAGTCAAAACCCTGACGTGCAACTCAGCGGTTCCATAGCCAACTCGTCGCTGGCGTCTGATGCAACGCATGGCAATGACGACCACGATCATCCAAGTGCACCGAGCCTGGTACAAGAGCTGTGGTGGCGTCACCGCCACTTAGTGGCGATCTGAGGCTGTTTGTGTGAAGTCGTAGTAACGCAGACGATGGGAGTGGCCGAGCGGTTTGCTACAAACCAGGCGACATGGGTTCGATTCCCTTCCACGGCAAACTTCTATAGCGATAGAAGCGAACCTAAAAACGTAGTACTGGGGGACACAAGGGCGGCCGGGCGTGGTACTGGTCACCTCCAGCCCCGTCCCCCACTCCTCGTGCGCAGTTCCCGACTTATCCGGCGTTCGCTAACGACACTTTTCCCCCGGCAGTCTATGAGGCTGAAACATGACTAAGTTTTATCGCCCTCTCTGGCAACAAAATTACGAGTTGTGCTAGGATGTTCAAACGCCAATCAGATTTCGCCTTTAGCAAGGAATCATGTGCCTGCAATTAACCGCACACGATGCTTGCGGTGAACATTCAAACACACATGCTCTGATAATATCGTATATGCATCGTCTTTGAAACTGATTGGCCTCGACTAGATACTGTCGAAAAGGTCCTAGTCTATACGGCTATGTGGGAGAATAATAATTTGTGTATATGTACTGTGGGGAACAGCATTGTAGTGCTCAGCGCACTGCGCTACGAACCCCCTCTCGCATCAGTTCACATCTGCACTGGGGAGACAAAGGCGGCCGGGGAGTGGTGTGTTGGCCAACCCAAACGCCGTCTGTGCTCGCTACCAGCACGTATCCCCAACAGTCCGTTAAGGCTATAATAGGAGTGGTGATCTTTGTTGATGCGTGCGTATGTACGAGGATGGGTGTTCGCGTGGATGCGTGTTCGGAGACAGATTCGCGTCGGAATAAATCGAACAAAGCACGCGCGGCTTCGTCAAGAATTAGACAAAGACCCCCCCAAATACAACCTTTTCACAGACTGTTATGGAAAGTGATGTTCGGGTGCACCTTTGAAGGCCGGCACGGCGCACGAGGGGGTGGGTGGCCAACACATCGCCCGGCCACCTTTGTTTCCCCGGTGGTGATGTTTACGCATCACACCAGGTACGCATTTGAGGCCGAGTCGACCTAGGGGAGGCCCGGGATCGCATCAGATAATCGTCACTGGTGTTGGTGGCCGTGAGCGACAATGGAACGCGGGTCGCCGGGTTCGTACCGTAGCGCGCTAACCGCTACACCACCGCTACACCACCGCTACACTACCGCTCCCCGCTGCACAACGCCTCCGTACACACCAGCTGGGCTGCCCGGCATGTCACCAATCTAAGCACTTTTTTTCTGGATCTCTCTCTCACAGTGGGGGGTGGGGGTTGCCCTTACATCAATCACTCCTCGAGGCGGACGTGGGAGGGAGGGGAGCTGGGGGGGGGGGGGGTCCTCCACAATCCCAACAACTCCCCACGAGAGGTCCCGGGTCCCAGATTCCCAGACCCTAGAATTGGCCATGCGCCAGTGTAACAGGAGTCGTGGAGGAGGCATCGTGGGGATGACTTCGCCAACTCGAGAGTGGACCGGGGCCACTGGATGGAAGCCGGAGGGGAGAATGGAGAGGAGTCGCGGTGGGAGCAGGGAGTCAGAATGAGAGAGCCACGGGGGGGGGGGGGGAGGGGCAGAGTAGGTGTAGGCCGAGCCAAATGATAACCGGCCTGGTCCGGGTCAGATTTGCTGCAAAAATCAAACGGAGTGCCCAAGGAGTCGAGAAAACCGGCGTGGATGAGGCAGCGTCGACGCCGTGGGGTGCCGGGCATGGGTGGGGGGGGGGGGGCAGAATGAAAGGAAAATGGTAATTGAAGAGGAGCAGGTAGGGGCATCAAAGCAGCCTGAGAGGGAGCCGGATTTCAGCAAGGTGATAGAGAGAGAAAGAGCATCACAGAGCGAGTCGGTGGGTGCAGCGATGGGGGCAGTGGGAGCAGGGTAAGAGTTGGATGAGAGCTCAAATGTGAAGCAGAGGAGTCGATTAGGGGAGGAAAGGGGATAGCTCGGGTTTGGGGGGTAGAGTGCAGGGTTGGGAGCCGGTGGGAGCAATATGTGATTCTAACGGGCGCGGGATTAAGTGGAGAGAAAGTTTGGATTCAAAGGAGGATGTCAAGGGGCGGGTTAAAGCAGATTGAGAGCCAGGTGGGAGCCGCTGGGAGTAGGAAAAGGAATAGGTGCGAGAGCCGGGTGGGGGCAGGAAGGGAGTGAGGATGATAACTGGGGCACGCTGTCAGAGCGGGGATGAAACGAGCATCTGCGGAGTCCGGAGATAATGTGGGTGTGACGGCCGTGGGTGAAGACACGGCCGTGGGTGAAGACACGGCCGTGGGTGAAGACACGGCCGTGGGTGAAGACACGGCCGTGGGTGAAGACACGGCCGTGGGTGAAGACACGGCCGTGGGTGAAGACACGGCCGTGGGTGAAGACACGGCCGTGGGTGAAGACACGGCCGTGGGTGAAGACACGGCCGTGGGTGAAGACACGGCCGTGGGTGAAGACACGGCCGTGGGTGAAGACACGGCCGTGGGTGAAGACACGGCCGTGGGTGAAGACACGGCCGTGGGTGAATACACGGCCGTGGGTGAAGACACGGTCGTGGGTGAAGACACGGTCGTGGGTGAAGACACGGTCGTGGGTGAAGACACGGTCGTGGGTGAAGACACGGTCGTGGGTGAAGACACGGTCGTGGGTGAAGACACGGCCGTGGGTGAAGACACGGCCGTGGGTGAAGACACGGTCGTGGGTGAAGACACGGCCGTGGGTGAAGACACGGCCGTGGGTGAAGACACGGCCGTGGGTGAAGACACGGCCGTGGGTGAAGACACGGCCGTGGGTGAAGACACGGTCGTGGGGGAGCCGGTGGGAGCCGTAGGGTGTGGATATGAGCCAGGTGGGAGCTGGTGGGAGCCGTGAGGAATGGGAATGAGTCAAGTGGAAGCAGGTGGAAGTAGAGATGGGCGGGTGGAAAACCAGGTGGGAGTCGTGAGAGTAGGGGTGAGCCACGTGGGAGTAGGGGTGAGCCACGTGGGAGTAGGGGTGAGCCACGTGGGAGTAGGGGTCAGCCAGGTGGGAGTGGGGGTGAGCCAGGTGGGAGTGGGGGTCAGCCAGGCGGGAGCCGCCGCGTACCTCGCTGGAGGAGTCGCGCAGCGTGCACGAAGCCGGACCCGAGTGCCTCCCTCTCCGCTTCCAGCTGCGGAAGCTGCGCCATGGACGGGCGGAGGGGAAGGCGGGCAACTCCCGCTCACGACCAGATATAAAAACTAAAACAACAACAACAACGGGAATTACTAAAAAAAACACAACGATAATAACATCAACGCTCGCTACGAGACGAATCGTTGTGCCGACGGAGGCGCCGAGAAGCGAGAGACCGTCTCACCCCAGCGGACGCGTCGCGTTGATGGCAGTGGTGGTGGTGATGGTGGTGGCGGTGATGTTGGTTGGTGATGTTGATGGTGATGATATCGCTGCAGACCCCGAGCGCAATCCGAGGCACGCGTCCTCTCTCCTCGTCGCTCTCTCTCTCCTTGCCTCTCTCTCTCTCCCTGCCTCCCTCTCTCTCTCCCTGCCTCCCTCTCTCTCTCCCTGCCTCCCTCTCTCTCTCCCTGCCTCTCTCTCTCTGTTCACGCGCCCTCCCCCACTCTCTCTTTCTTCTCTCCCCCACCCCAACACCTCGCGCTCTCCCTCCCCCCAGCAATTCCCCCCCTCCCCCCAGCAATTCCCCCCCTCCCCCCCGTCTTCCACCCTCTCTCCCTCTTCCTCTGCACAGCTCATCGATGATGGAGAGCCCATGTCGCGCTGATTGCGGTAAAAGTGATCATTTCACAGCCGAAACGTCGTGAGAATATTATTGTGTTATTTTATTTTATCAATTTATTATTTCTGCTGGATGAAAGGACTCCCTCAACGTTGTTGTCGAGTTCTGGTGGGGGAGCCGGGCGCGGGGGGCGTGGGTGCTGGGTGGTTGAGGGTTTGTTTGACCATACTTCACCACACTGGAGGTCAGTGCAGGTGGGTGCCATTCCGGATGTCACTCGCCGTGCCCGGGAGTCGAGCTCAAGTCTCCGGCTTCACGGCGCGGTTTGGGGAATCACTCCAAGACGGAGACAGAGATCCACCGCGTAGCCTGTAACATGACTGTAACATGGCTGTAACATGACTATTGGGGCAAGTGCTGCTAGCGAGTTGCGCCTAAGAAGGTCGGCACGGCACACGAGCGGGTGGGTGGACAGCACCACGTCCAGTCGCCTTTGCCTCCCTAGTGGCGGACCAGGTACTCAATTTGAGGCTGAGTCGACCTAGGGGAGGCCCGGGACCGCATCAGATAATCGTCACTGGTGTTGGTGGCCGTGAGCGAGAATGGACCCCGGGTTGCCGGGTTCGTAGCGCAGGGCTGACCGCTACACCACCGCTCCCCGCTGCACTATCCTCCGTACACACACCACACCAGCTGGGCTGCCCGGCATGTCACCATCTCCACCACCAGCAGCGCTGCTTTTAAATTCGAATATAAATCATTCGTAAAATCGATCGGACATCTTATTTATGAAGGAAAAAATAAAATAGCAATCTCGACCCTTAAAAGAAACACACACACACATTCCACTTAAGACCAGAGAAAAACACATTTAGCCGCCTGTTATTGCTAAGATTCCAATGCACCGTCTTTACTGAGTATTCAAAGTGCCATGTCTGCATATCAACAGGATGAGACAGTGTGACTTTATATGTCCAGGAGAGCCACGCTGAGTCGTAGGACTATTTTTTTCACGATGGGCCTGATACATTTGGTATTTGTTTTAACAATGTTTTGCAGCCAATTGTATGCTGAACTTCTTTCGCACCGTACGTAGCCAACAGTACTAATCAGAGGTGCGGGAAATTAATAAGGAGGCATAAAATAAAATAAATGACGACGTTTCGGGCGCAACACAAGCGTCCGTCATCAGGTGGGAAAGCATGGTCTGCTGCTGAGGCAGTCTGCGTCGTGATTGATTTTATTTTATTTTCTACCTACGTGACTTTACCAAAAGAACCAAAGAGTATGGATTCCTGCAGTCACGAAAGCTTCAAATCAAGTTTCATAAAGAGGGTTTATTATACAACATGGGGAGGAAACCGGAGCACCCAGAGTAAACGCACGCCTTGTGCGAGGGGACAACACTCTATCCCTGCACAATAGATCAGTGGGCACTACCTGGTAATATACAACGTTTAAATTTCGATTTAAAGCTTTCGTGACTGCAATGATTCATCTTCTTTGGTTCTTTCGGTAAAGTCACGTAGAATGAGAATAAAATAATAAATTGATAAAATAAAATAACACAATAATATTCTCACGACGTTTCGGCCGTAACACAAGCGGCCTTCGTCAGGTGAAGGGACGAGACTGTCTGGTAGGACAGCGCTGGAGTGAAAGAGCCACGTTCAGATCACGGCCTTTAAGCTGTGTGAGAGGAACAAAGCGCCTTAGAGTCGCGGCATCTCTTCAGAAAGGTGAGAGACTCGATTAGTTGAGCCTTCTTATCCCGAAGTCTGTTGAATGATCTTAAGGATGTGTGGAATCCCTCCCCAAAGAAGATACAACGTTTAGTTTAGTTGGTAACAGATGGCGATTCGTCCACTCGCTGTACTGCCTTCTCCTGGCGAACCAGGGTACGGCACCTCCTCCAAGCCCACCACTTTTATGCGGAGCAAACTATGACGCGTGGATGACATCGGAGTGCCCAATATCTCATCCGATCACGCAGTTATATCATCCATCGTGATCAACCTTCAAGTGTGCTGCCGTTGTGCGCGTACGATGGTTCGCGGCACACTGGACTTGCGATCCAGGGAACGCCGCCGTGCACTGCGATATCCATAATCCGGGCACGGCAGGTTGAACCACGTTTTGCAACGTGTCTTCGAGGCAGTTTGTTGCTGAGCGAACGGACATTTGAAGGTGACATTGTCTCTCGGCGTGCCTTGTCCTTTCTCAGAGACGTCGGTGTGATCGTAGACGACCCTTCCAGCTGTGTCTCTCTCCGCGATGCTTAACTCATAAAACTGTGCATCACACACTCCCGGACACACGCAGTTGTTCAAATTGCCTCTGTTCAGGGTTAATTCGCCGTCTTCTGGTGACTTCTCGGGGTACCTCTAATTTTCCCCGTCGAAACATTTACGTTCAGCCTCTGTCTCTAATTATTCTCATGAATGTTCTTGTTGTGCGCCCTGCTGCTCTCCTTTATGCATTTACAGTGAGGGAAAAAAAGTATTTGATCCCCTGCTGATTTTGTACGTTTGCCCACTGACAAAGAAATGATCAGTCTATAATTTTAATGGTAGGTGTATTTGAACAGTGAGAGACAGAATAACAACAACAAAATCCAGAAAAACGCGTGTCAAAAATATTTATGAATTGATTTGCATTTTAATGAGGGAAATAAGTATTTGACCCCTAGGCAAAACATAACTTAGTACTTGGTGGCAAAACCCATGTTGGCAATCACAGAGGTCAGACGTTTCTTGTAGTTGGCCACCAGGTTTGCATACATCTCAGGAGGGATTTTGTCCCACTCCTCGTTGCAGATCTTCTCCAAGTCATTAAGGTTTCGAGGCTGACGTTTGGCAACTCGAACCTTCAGCTCCCTCCACCGATTTTTTTATGGGATTAAGATCAGGAGACTGGCTAGGCCACTCCAGGGCCTTAATGTGCTTCTTCTTGAGCTACTCCTTTGTTGCCTTGGCCATGTGTTTTGGGTCATTATCATGCTGGAATACCCACCCACGACCCATTTTCAATGCCCTGGCTGAGGGAAGGAGGTTCTCACTCAAAATTTGACGGTACATGGCCCCGTCCATCGTCCCTTTGATGCGGTGAAGTTGTCCTGTCCCCTTAGCAGAAAAACACCCCCAAAGCATAATGTTTCCACCTCCATGTTTGACGGTGGGGATGGTGTTCTTGGGGTCATAGGCAGCATTCCTCCTCCCCCAAACACGGCGAGTGGGGTTGATGCCAAAGAGCTCCATTTTGGTCTCATCTGACCACAACACTTTCACCCAGTTGTCCTCTGAATCATTCAGATGTTCATTGGCAAACTTCAGACGGGCATGTATATGTGATTTCTTGAGCAGGGGGACCTTGCGGGCGCTGCAGGATTGCAGTCTTTCACGGCGTAGTGTGTTACCAATTGCTTTCTTGGTGACTATGGTCCCAGCTGCCTTGAGATCATTGACAAGATCCTCCCGTGTAGTTCTGGGCTGATTCCTCACCGTTATCATGATCATTGCAACTCCACGAAGTGAGATCTTGCATGGAGCCCCAGGCCGAGGGAGATTGACAGTTCTTTTGTGTTTCTTCCATTTGCGAATAATCGCACCAGCTGTTGTCACCTTCTCACCAAGCTGCTTGGCAATGGTCTTGTAGCCCATTCCAGCCTTGTATAGGTCTACAATATTGTCCCTGACATCCTTGGAGAGCCCTTTGGTCTTGGCCATGGTGGAGAGTTTGGGATCTTATTGATTGATTGCTTCTGTGGACAGGTGTCTTTTATACAAGTAACAAGCTGAGATTAGGAGCACTCCCTTTAAGAGTGTGCTCCTAATCTCAGCTCGTTACCTGTATAAAAGACACCTGGGAGCCAGAAATCCTTCTGATTGAGAGGGGGTCAAATACTTATTTCCCTCATTAAAATGCAAATCAAATTATAACAGTTTTTGACATGTGTTTTTCTGGATGTTCTTGTTGTTATTCTGTCTCTCACTGTTCAAATAAACCTACCATTAAAATTATAGACTGATCATTTCTTTGTCAGTGGGCAAACGTACAAAATCAGCAGGGGATCAAATACTTTTTCCCTCATTGTATGTCGCTCACCTTGCGTTTGCCAGTGATATGTTTAACATCCTTTAAAATCCACACTTGTGTGATTCTGCACAACGATGCTAATAATTAGTCTGCGTTATGAATTTACACAATAGATTGTAATGATGTTGTTGATGCGATGTAGCGGTGATGAATTCCGGGGAATTAATTAATAGTCTTGAAACAACACGTGCCCCACAATCTCGTAACAACAACCACCACCACCAGAACCACGATCATCATCATGATGACCCGCCCATACTGGCCATGTGTGAAAAATAGCTTCATAGCTCATCGGATTCCTCCAGTCTAATAAAGATTCTGATTCATCAAAGCCTGACGACACAATCCGCTGTTCCCACTTGGTCACTGGACCAAAGCTTCACAGGCACGTGGCTCTGCTAATTTCTGATCGCCACTTTATTTCACATTGCAATTTGCTTCGCAATTGATAACGCGTATTACGTTGAGAGGCGCCTTGTTTTTTTTTTTCATTCTACTGCTGGATGAAGACACAACTGTAAAAAAAAGACTTCACAGGATGTATAGAGTATTTATTTGAGTTTGTACATTATGTCCACACAGTGGTGCACTACCAGAAATAACAACATCCCAAAACATATATTTCGTCAACAATACGACGTGGTCTCGAAAGAAAACATACATCTAACAGTCGACGTTTCGGGCAATGACCCTTCTTCATAGCATATGCATATATAAGAAGGGCCATTACCCGAATCGTCGCCCA